ACTTCAGCCTATTCAAAGTGAAAGGGCTAAAATTGCACAAACACACAGTATGACCTGGCCCTAACGTTTTTTGATCTTTTTAGAGCTACAGCACTTCCTTTGTTCTTGCCTAGGTGAGAACAATGTACTCATTACAAAACCTACACTGATCCACCCATACTCATCTAAATCTTGGCTGAAACATTACTATTCCTCTAGAGATCTTTTACAAGAAGCTGCAGTTGCGGTTATTTACTAAATCTGGAAAGTGCAAAATCGAGTGCAGCTCTACATAAAAACTAATCAGCTTCCAGGTTTTATTGGCAAAGCTTAATCGCTTCTGTGCCGCCCTATAGCAGAAATACTGCTACAGGGAAGAACGGGTGCGCAAAATCACATATATATATATATATATATATATATATATATATACATGATTTTGCAGTTCTGGGTAGGAGGCATGTCTGCCCTACCCACGGCGCCATTCGCAGCCTCGGCTGTCAATCATCAGGTCCCAGCCAGTGATTCCCCGCCTACACCCGGCGATCTCCAAGGATTTCGATTGTGGGAAGAGACCTGTATGTAAACAATAGAGATCTCTCCCGTCAGCTCCTGCACACTGCTTTGTGTGCATAGCAGAGCCATACAAAGCAGTGTGCTTATAGTGTAAAGCACACAGTTTATTTATTTCAGGTACTTATATATCGCCGTCAATGTACACAGTGCTTTACATATATATTGTACATTCACATCAGTCCCTAACCCTCAAGGGGCGTACAATCTAAGGTCCCTAACTCACATTCATACATACACATACTAGGGACAATTTATACAGGAGCCAATTAACCTACCAGCATGTCTTTGGACTGTGGGAGGAAACTGGAGTACCCGGAGGAAACCCACGCAGGCACAGGGAGAACATGCAAACTCCAGGCAGGTGGTGCCGTGGTTGGGATTCAAACCAACGACCCGAGTACTGCCAGCCGGAAGTGCTAACCATTTAGCCACTGTGCTGCCCACAGTTTATTTCAGGTACTTATATATCGCCGTCAATTTACGCAGCGCTTTACATATATATTGTACATTCACATCAGTCCCTAACCCTCAAGGGGCGTACAATCTAAGGTAACCCCAACATCGCTCAACATGTTAACCCCTCCTGCCCAGCGCCATTAGTACAGTGTCAGTGCTTTTTATTAGCACTGATCAATGTATTGGTGTCACTGTGGATATCAGTGACACCAAGTCAGTTCCCCCCCAGTGTCAGAAAGCACGCCACAGTCCCGCTATAAGTTGCTGTTCGCCGCCATTACTAGTAAAAAAAAAATTTAAAAAAAAAACAGTATACCGCCATTTGTAAACGCTATAACTTTCACGTAAACCAATTAATTTACACATTTTGAGATTTATTTTTTAGCAGACACGGAGCAGAATACATTTTGGCCTAAATTTATGACAAATTTTTTTTTTATTTTTTTAATGGACATGTTCAATAGCAAAAAATCAAAAATCTTGTTTTTCAAAATGGTCGGTCTTTTTTTTGTTTATAGCGCAAAAAATTAAAAACCGTACAGGTGATCAAATACCAGAGAAAGAAAGCTCCATTTGTGGGGGGGGAGGATGTAAATTTAATTTGGGTGCAGCGTTGCATAACCACACAACTGACAGTTAAAGTAACACAGCGCCGTATCGTGGCCTGGGCAGGAGGGGGGGCGAATCCTCTGGAGGGCAAGTGGTTAACTGAACAAGCTGACGTTAGATGCTGATTGGCTCCTGTGCACAGCTGCACCAGATTCTGAGCGCTCCAGTTTTAGTAAATCTCGCCAAAGTATCTAAACAAAAAGAAAAGCTCATCTGTGATACAAGGCAGCCGCCAAGGTGTGCGCTATAGAACTTCCTGCAGGAAATACTATAGCCTGGCATCACGCTGCTGTGGGGCATTGACATGCGTTGTGTAAAAGCAACTCGCATTTATCTGAACATGCTGCCAGACACACCAACCGCGCACAGAATTTTATTTGTAATGCGCTCCACCATGACACCCGGTAGAGGGTTACCATGTGCTGTGGTGCTCTGCAACACACATTTGTTGGCATGGTGCACTGGGGTGTCATTAGGAATGACTGGTACCGCCAGCGCACGTTCTTTGCAGAAAATGCAACCATTACCGCCAGCCTTTGGGTTGTGATGGTGCTCACCGATCAGGACCTGGATGGGGGACACAAAGGAGGACTTTTTGGATGGAATATAGAGTGGGATGATGGATGCCCCCCTGTGCTGCCTACAATGGGAGGGTTACAAGAAGACAAAGCAAGAATGTGGACGGCAAAAATACCGACTGCATCCCCCAAAATCTGCTGCTACAGACCACACCCTCCCAGACGTGTCACTACAGACCGCACCCCCCAGGATCTGCCGCTACAGACCACACCCTCCCAGACGTGTCGCTACAGACCGCACCCCACAGGATCTTCCGCTACAGACCGCACCCTCCCACACGTGTCGCTACAGACCGCACCCCCAGGATCTGCCGCTACAGACCGCGCCCCCCCGGGATCTGCCGCTACAGACCGCGCCCCCCCCGGGATCTGCCGCTACAGACCGCGCCCCCCCGGGATCTGCCGCTACAGACCGCGCCCCCCCCGGGATCTGCCGCTACAGACCGCGCCCCCCCCCCCGGGATCTGCCGCTACAGACCGCGCCCCCCCCCGGGATCTGCCGCTACAGACCGCGCCCCCCCCGGGATCTGCCGCTACAGACCGCGCCCCCCCCGGGATCTGCCGCTACAGACCGCGCCCCCCCCCCGGGATCTGCCGCTACAGACCGCGCCCCCCCGGGATCTGCCGCTACAGACCGCGCCCCCCCCCGGGATCTGCCGCTACAGACCGCGCCCCCCCCGGGATCTGCCGCTACAGACCGCGCCCCCCCCCGGGATCTGCCGCTACAGACCGCGCCCCCCCCGGGATCTGCCGCTACAGACCGCGCCCCCCCCCCCCGGGATCTGCCGCTACAGACCGCGCCCCCCCCGGGATCTGCCGCTACAGACCGCGCCCCCCCGGGATCTGCCGCTACAGACCGCGCCCCCCCGGGATCTGCCGCTACAGAGACCGCGCCCCCCCCGGGATCTGCCGCTACAGACCGCCCCCCCCGGGATCTGCCGCTACAGACCGCGCGCCCCCCCGGGATCTGCCGCTACAGACCGCGCCCCCCCGGGATCTGCCGCTACAGACCGCGCCCCCCGGGATCTGCCGCTACAGACCGCACCCCCCCCGGGATCTGCCGCTACAGATCGCACCCCCCCGGGATCTGCCGCTACAGATCGCACCCCCCCCGGATCTGCCGCTACAGATCGCACCCCCCCGGATCTGCCGCTACAGATCGCACCCCCCCGGGATCTGCCGCTACAGATCGCACCCCCCCAGGATCTGCCGCTACAGATCGCACCCCCCCAGGATCTGCCGCTACAGATCGCACTTAGGGCCAGTTCAAACCACAAAAATGCACTCCGGATGCATTCTGGTTACGTTTGCTCACAGTTCACACCACACTCCTTTCAGGTGCAGTTTTGATGCAATTTGTTATGTTCCAGTACAGCTGTGTGCAGAAGAAATGCAGCAGATTCTGTGTGTGAAAGGACACACAAAGCAGCGAGTGCCCCCATTGCAAGCTGCTTGCTGTGGGGGCATCCGACAGGAGGGAGTGGCCAGGAGACCCTGCGGGGGTCCCGAGAAGAGGATCCAGGCTGCTCTATGCAAAGCAGGCAAGTAAAGACATGTTTGCTATTTTACAAAAAAAAAAAAAAAAATTAACCTTTAGAATTGCTTTAAGGATTAGATGGATGTCCCAATCATTCACTGAACAGTATTGAAGTATTTTCTCTTAGCCCTCCCCTGTCTGAAAGATGACCATGTGACCTGAATCTAATAAGGGCAACCAACTCAGGACCCACACTTCTAAAATGTATCAGCAGCTCCATATGTTGCCCCCACGCTCCCCCCTCAGATTACAAATACGTCCACCTTCTGAATCCGCATCCATCCTCAGGGGTCCTCATCCCTCCCCCCTCAGGTGTCCCCCATCCCTCTCAAGTGCCCCCATCCTTCCCACCTCAGGTGTCTCCTCATCCTCAGGTGTCCTCATCCCTCCCCCCTTATGTGTCCTCATCCCTCCCCCCTCAGGTGTCCCCCATCCTCAGGTGTCCTCATCCCTTCCCCCTCAGGTGTCCCCCATCCCTCTCAAGTGCCCCCATCCTTCCCTCAGATGTCCCCCATCCTTCCCTCCTCAGGTGTCCCCAGGTATCATCCTGTTCTCCCCCCTGTACACCGCCCCCAGGTGTCCCCCATCCTCAGGTGTCCCCCGGTATCATTCTGTTCTCCCCTGTACACCGCCCCCAGGTGTCCCCCATCCTCAGGTGTCCCCCGGTATCATCCTGTTCTCCCCTGTACACCGCCCCCAGGTGTCCCCCATCCTCAGGTGTCCCCCGGTATCATCCTGTTCTCCCCTGTACACCGCCCCCAGGTGTCCCCCATCCTCAGGTGTCCCCCGGTATCATCCTGTTCTCCCCTGTACACCGCCCCCAGGTGTCCCCCATCCTCAGGTGTCCCCCGGTATCATCCTGTTCTCCCCTGTACACCGCCCCCAGGTGTCCCCCATCCTCAGGTGTCCCCAGGTATCATCCTGTTCTCCCCTGTACACCACCCCCAGGTGTCCCCCATCCCATCCTCAGGTGTCCCCAGATATCATTCTGTTCTCCCCTGTACACTGTCCCCAGGTGTCCCCCATCCTCAGGTGTCCCCCATCCTGTTCTCCCCTGTCACGGTGTCCCCAGGTATCATCCTGTTCTCCCCTGTACACCAACCCCAGGTGTCCCCCATCCTCAGGTGTCCCCGGTATCATTCTGTTCTCCCCTGTACACTGTCCCCAGGTGTCCCCCATCCCTCCATCCTCAGGTGTCCCCCAGTATCATCCTGTTCTCCCCTGTACACCGCCCCCGGGTGTCCCCATCTCCTCCCAGGACTCACCTGCTCTTTGACGGCCAGTCTGAGGGGGGCCAGCTGCTCCTCCATGCCGGGTGTGTGTGTCGGGTGTGGGCGGGTCACCGGGTGTAGGGCGGTGAGGAGGCTCGGGGCGGTCAGCCGGGTCTTCTGGCGGAGTGATCCGGGCTGAGCTGGGAGCCGCAGCAGCAGGGCGGGGAGGGATCTCAGCACGCGCATCACACTCACTGCATGATGAAATCTCTGCCGTGCCGGCCGCCGCAAAGCAACACCGCGCGACTGCCGGCCCGACTGCGCTCTACGGCAGAGCGGAGAAACGCAGTGGCCGCCACCATCTTGGATGAGGGCAGTTTGCCCTTAGCGGCAGTATAGTGTAAGCCCCGACAAATTAATAAACGGTCATATACATGTACAATGATCATCAATAAGTGACGCGGCCCACTGAAATATCGAAAAACCCTCACGGGGAAGAGCTCGGAGCGGAGTGGATTTCCCTGGCAACCAGTCAGGTTGCTGTGTAGAAGTGATTCGTTGCTATGGAGACTGAGGTAACCATATTGTAAGGAGTTACTTCTCTCTACTACCTGGCTTTGGAAACGTCTGTATATATATTATAGGAATTATGTATGCACTTCCTGCCCCTCTGTGCTTGTCCTGGAAGCCCCTCAGGAGGGAGTGGACAGTGAGAGAAAGTCCAGCCGCATGTCCTGTGTATGTGCGGTCACATCCCGGACCTGAGGGGACTGTCAGACATCCCTATGGAGGGAATAAAGTGCTGAGGAGACAGAACCACATTGCTGTTCCCGCAGGTGAGAATCTCTGTTCCAGGCTGGTTGGACAACAGTTGGCGCATCCCTCCCCCCTGCAACCGCTGTTCTTGTCTTCAGGTCTCCGACGCAAAGACGAACGCCATATCGTGAGTCCTCAGGGCCCCGGCAACATGACTTGCCTGCAACATTTCTAAGGAAGAATTTTATTTTTTTTAAATTTAAAGTGTTAGTTCACCTTTACCAGAAACCTGCCTATGTAGATAAGGGGTGTTTGTAGATAAAAACAAACTGCGTGTCTCTGACTAAAGCTGAATAATGTCCTTGCTATAGGTGTAGGCCATTTATTTACCTCATAAAGCCTGACTGGATTACTCCCAGGGTCGTTGCTAGGTGAGGCCTAGTCATTACTGCCACCTCCACCATCACAGGAGTGAGGTCGGGTCTCCGATTCAGACCCCCTCACATGCTTGTTCTCCCCCCTGATGTAGTAGCTGTGAGTGCAGCGCCTGGGAGCTCACTCCTGTGATGGTGGAGGTGGCAGTAATGACTAGGCCTCACCTAGCAACAACCCTGGGAGTGTTCCAGTCAGCTTTCATGAGGTAAATAAATGGCCTACACCTATAGCAAGAACCTATAGCGAGGACTAGGCCTCACCTAGCAACGACCCTGGGAGTGTTCCAGTCAGGCTTCATGAGGTAAATAAATGGCCTACACCTATAGCAAGGACCTATAGTGAGGACTAGTCCTCACCTAGGAACGACCCTGGGAGTGTTCCAGTCAGCTTTCGTGAGGTAAATAAATGGCCTACACCTATAGCGAGGACTAGGCCTCACCTAGCAACGACCCTGGGAGTGTTCCAGTCAGCTTTCATGAGGTAAATAAATGGCCTACACCTATAGCAAGGACCTATAGCGAGGACTAGGCCTCACCTAGCAACGACCCTGGGAGTGTTCCAGTCAGCTTTCATGAGGTAAATAAATGGCCTACACCTATAGCAAGACCTATAGCGAGGACTAGGCCTCACCTAGCAACGACCCTGGGAGTGTTCCAGTCAGCTTTCATGAGGTAAATAAATGGCCTAAACCTATAGCAAGGACCTATAGCGAGGACTAGGCCTCACCTAGCAACGACCCTGGGAGTGTTCCAGTCAGCTTTCATGAGGTAAATAAATGGCCTACACCTATAGCAAGGACCTATAGCGAGGACTAGGCCTCACCTAGCAACGACCCCGGGAGTGTTCCAGTCAGCTTTCATGAGGTAAATAAATGGCCTACACCTATAGCAAGGACCTATAGCGAGGACTAGGCCTCACCTAGCAACGACCCTGGGAGTGTTCCAGTCAGGCTTCATGAGGTAAATAAATGGCCTACACCTATAGCAAGGACCTATAGCGAGGACTAGGCCTCACCTAGCATTGACCCTCGGAGTGTTCCAGTCAGCTTTCATGAGGTAAATAAATGGCCTACACCTATAGCAAGGACCTATAGCGAGGCCTCACTCTCCTAGCAACGACCTGGGAGTGTTCCAGTCAGCTTTCATGAGGTAAATAAATGGCCTACACCTATAGCAAGGAGCTATAGCGAGGACTAGGCCTCACCTAGCAACGACCCTGGGAGTGTTCCAGTCAGCTTTCATGAGGTAAATAAATGGCCTGGACCTATAGCGAGGACTAGGCCTCACCTAGCAACGACCCTGGGAGTGTTCCCGTCAGCTTTCATGAGGTAAATAAATGGCCTACACCTATAGCGAGGACTAGGCCTCACCTAGCAACGACCCTGGGAGTGTTCCAGTCAGCTTTCATGAGGTAAATAAATGGCCTACACCTATAGCAAGGACCTATAGCGAGGACTAGGCCTCACCTAGCAACGACCCTGGGAGTATTCCAGTCAGCTTTTATGAGGTAAATAAATGGCCTACACCTATAGCAAAGGACCTATAGCGAGGACTAGGCCTCACCTAGCAACGACCCTGGGAGTGTTCTAGTCAGCTTTCATGAGGTAAATAAATGGCCTACACCTATAGCAAGGACCTATAGCGAGGACTAGGCCTCACCTAGCAACGACCCTGGGAGTGTTCCAGTCAGCTTCATGAGGTAAATAAATGGCCTACACCTATAGCAAGGACCTATAGTGAGGACTAGTCCTCACCTAGAACGACCCTGGGAGTGTTCCAGTCAGCTTTCGTGAGGTAAATAAATGGCCTACACCTATAGCAAGGACTATAGCGAGAACTAGGCCTCACCTAGCAACGACCCTGGGAGTGTTCCAGTCAGCTTTCATGAGGTAAATAAATGGCCTACACCTATAGCAAGGACCTATAGCGAGGACTAGGCCTCACCTAGCAACGACCCTGGGAGTGTTCCAGTCAGCTTTCATGAGGTAATTTATTTATTTAAATGGCCTATAGCGCCCTATAGCGAGGACTAGGCCTCACCAGTACATCAAAACGACCGAGGGGGAGTGCCCTACTCTTTCGAGTCATCTTTCATGAGGTAAATAAATGGCCTACATGGAGTGGTAGGAGGAGGAAGGACCTATAGCGAGGACTAGGCCTCACCTAGCAACGACCCTGGGAGTATTCCAGTCAGCTTTCATGAGGTAAATAAATGGCCTAAACCTATAGCGAGGACTAGGCCTCACCTAGCAACGACCCTGGGAGTGTTCCAGTCAGCTTTCATGAGGTAAATAAATGGCCTACCTATAGCAAGGACCTATAGCGAGGACTAGGCCTCACCTAGCAACGACCCTGGGAGTGTTCCAGTCAGCTTCATGAGGTAAATAAATGGCCTACACCTATAGCAAGGACCTATAGCGAGGACTAGGCCTCACCTAGCAACGACCCTGGGAGTGTTCCAGTCAGGCTTCATGAGGTAAATAAATGGCCTACACCTATAGCAAGGACCTATAGCGAGGACTAGGCCTCACCTAGCAACGACCCTGGGAGTGTTCCAGTCAGGCTTCATGAGGTAAATAAATGGCCTACACCTATAGCAAGGACCTATAGCGAGGACTAGGCCTCTCCTAGCAACGACCCTGGGAGTGTTCCAGTCAGGCTTCATGAGGTAAATAAATGGCCTACACCTATAGCAAGGAGCTATAGCGAGGACTAGGCCTCACCTAGCAACGACCCTGGGAGTGTTCCAGTCAGCTTTCATGAGGTAAATAAATGGCCTGGACCTATAGCGAGGACTAGGCCTCACCTAGCAACGACCCTGGGAGTGTTCCCGTCAGCTTTCATGAGGTAAATAAATGGCCTACACCTATAGCGAGGACTAGGCCTCACCTAGCAACGACCCTGGGAGTGTTCCAGTCAGCTTTCATGAGGTAAATAAATGGCCTACACCTATAGCAAGGACCTATAGCGAGGACTAGGCCTCACCTAGCAACGACCCTGGGAGTATTCCAGTCAGCTTTTATGAGGTAAATAAATGGCCTACACCTATAGCAAGGACCTATAGCGAGGACTAGGCCTCACCTAGCAACGACCCTGCGAGTATTCCAGTCAGGCTTCATGAGGTAAATAAATGGCCTACAACTATAGCAAGGACCTATAGCGAGGACTAGGCCTCACCTAGCAACGACCCTGTGAGTGTTCCAGTCAGCTTTCATGAGGTAAATAAATGGCCTACACCTATAGCAAGGACCTATAGCGAGGACTAGGCCTCACCTAGCAACGACCCTGGGAGTATTCCAGTCAGCTTTCATGAGGTAAATAAATGGCCTACACCTATAGCAAGGACCTATAGCGAGGACTAGGCCTCACCTAGCAACGACCCTGGGAGTATTCCAGTCAGGCTTCATGAGGTAAATAAATGGCCTACACCTATAGCAAGGACCTATAGCGAGGACTAGGCCTCACCTAGCAACGACCCTGGGAGTGTTCCAGTCAGGCTTCATGAGGTAAATAAATGGCCTACACCTATAGCAAGGACCTATAGCGAGGACTAGGCCTCACCTAGGAACGACCCTGGGAGTATTTCAGTCAGCTTTCATGAGGTAAATAAATGGCCTACACCTATAGCAAGGACCTATAGCGAGGACTAGGCCTCACCTAGCAACGACCCTGGGAGTATTCCAGTCAGCTTTCATGAGGTAAATAAATGGCCTACACCTATAGCGAGGACTAGGCCTCACCTAGCAACGACCCTGGGAGTGTTCCAGTCAGCTTTCATGAGGTAAATAAATGGCCTACACCTATAGCAAGGACCTATAGCGAGGACTAGGCCTCACCTAGCAACGACCCTGGGAGTATTCCAGTCAGGCTTCATGAGGTAAATAAATGGCCTACACCTATAGCAAGGACCTATAGCGAGGACTAGGCCTCACCTAGCAACGACCCTGGGAGTATTCCAGTCAGCTTCATGAGGTAAATAAATGGCCTACACCTATAGCAAGGACCTATAGCGAGGACTAGGCCTCACCTAGCAACGACCCTGGGAGTATTCCAGTC